CTAGTTTTAATAACTCATGGTTGTCTGGGATGTCATTTAATTCCTTCAAGTTTTAAACTTCCTCTGCCCTTGTTGCCTTTAAAATCATTGATTAAGCACAACTATCAAATATTTTCATACAACTTTCTATGCGAATTTTCATGTAATGTTCCGTGTAATGTAGAATTCCGACATTTACATCATAATCTTATTGTTATGTTAGAATTGTGTTAAAAAGAGTATTCATAGCTGGTTAGTACTTGAATACCACGTTCATTAGCTAAATGATCAATAGATAGCAGGTCCAGTAAATATAAAAAACATTTAGCCCAAACTTCGATTATTTTTGACTTATCATTCCAAATTTTCATCCGATCGCCATTAAGTTTTAAGGCATTTCTTATGTGATATGTAAACTGGCATCATTATTATATTTAAAAGTATAGCAATCGGTACGCTCCATAGATGATTCGCGTTGGGAACATCATGAGCACTTGTGTCAACATGTTTTTGAAACAACTGAAGGCATCGCGCGTGACGCAACAGAGCCCGTGTATTTACGCAATACCGCCATTGTTTCAGCATCACAAACAACCTCTCTTGTTCACCACACGCTTCGTATCTGTAAATGATCTGAATTTAATCTGGATTATATTGATTATATTGATACGATATTATATTTAGATGTCTATGCGACGAAACGATGGGGACATAAACCAGAATGTGTTAAGAATGAATGTGGACGGCTACAAAGGTAGAGGAAGACCGAAGATAGTATAGATGGATTGTGTGAAAAAGAATATGCTTAAGAATGGAGTGGATTCAGATATGACGGCTGATAGAGATGTATGGAAGAGCAGCACATACTGTGCCGACCCTCCGTAAGGGATAAGAGCAAGTGGATGATGATGATGTCTGCGATATCGACTGTTAGTTAGCTATTAGCTACGCATCAATATAATTTAGAAAATTTATGTCGATACTGAATGTTACTAATAAGGTTTTTAAATATAGTTTTACAGTAATAAAAATGAATAAAAACGCGCGTTTACTTTAAGCCTGGTCTATTTGTCAACATGTTTTTTTTAATATTGATATAGTTTGAAATAAAATAACGACGGATACTACTAGATAAAATAAAGAACGTAGATGTTAAACTATAAAATGCTTCAAATTCTTCCCTCTAATGAGTGAGAATCCAAGCAATGATAATATTTCAATCAAAAGGGTTCGCGTAATTCATTAACAATTTTATTAATAGGTTAATCAAACAATAATGTACGCTAGCGAGCTATTTAAACAAGTTTAAAACGAACGTCTTCGCTTTCAGTATAGGGCAAAGGAAATTCAATTAACATTACAATGCGGCAATCGCTGTTACTCAGTGCAGTTAAAACCGTCTGTAGGTCAGACGCTCAGAAGACCGGGTCGTATGTTTTTTAGGGGATAAAGGGTGTTAAAAACATTAAGGTAATTTTGATAAGCAGATTTGCGTAAAGAAAATTATTGACATTACTAATGCCATGTGCATTTTGAACCTTAATTCAAGAAAATAAGACGTAAAATTCAATTAAAGCATGTTCAGGAGTTGTTATCCGGATACTTCATAATATTATCAATACACGCGTCGTGTGCGATTACACTTGTGTGACACGACCTTTAATCTCAATGTGTCACAAACCATATGGGATAGGACAGAATAACATAAACTAATTCCTTGATTGAGCAAGTTCAATAAACTCATTACACTGATTATCTTTACAATGTAACATGATCTACGTATAGAAATAACAGCAGCTGTATCTATTATGCATTTACATTATTGTGTCATACGTAAATACATGTACACACTACAAAGCCATCCTAATGAAACAAAGACAATAAATAATACTAACAGTTTTTATGCTGAAAGTTTTATAAAAAAATTAAAAACATATCATGTGTTTCCCGATGGATAGATCGATTGATCCAATGGGCTTTTTTTTTCATTGAGTCGATCGAATCCATACAAATAAACGACCCAATGGGAAAAATTCCAATTGGTTCCCATCGTAAGGCCCTCGACACGCAGGATATCGCTATCTATAAATTTTCACAAATAATTCTCGAGATGTCAATTTAATTTGGTCGGGTTTTTCGTCTTTGAAAATCAACTACAAGATGTTTCTATTGCAAAAATAGAGGGACTAAATTTTGGAATTCTTTGTTATTTTGCTGATTTGTGTTATGATTAATAAACATAAAGAAATTATGGCAATCGGTTTGTTTACTGCAAAATGTATTTTAAGCAGTGGGCATCCCTGCATCGCGGCAAGTATTTCTGATGACGCACCAACGCCGGATGGACGTCCATTTTGGAAACAGGAAGTATTTATGTATACTTATTTCAAATGCGGGCAACACAATAGTAAAAAAATACGCTACGAACTATAATGAAAGATTTAACTGAATTAAGGATTAGAAAAAGTTGTCTAGTTTACGCAGAAATAATAAAAAAGTAAACATCAAATTGCAATTACAGAGAGAATCAAATTATTTCAGTTATGTAAAACATAATATTTCTAGAAAAAATGATAAGCATGTAGTTAATTGGAGGGCCGCTAATTTTTTTATTTCTACTGATTCCTCCTTGTAACTTAACCATATGAATATTTATGTATACTGACTTCGTGACATTTATAAAAAAAAACCTATATGTTAAGCATCCTGCCTCACTAGTAAGGTTTAACATGGTAATAAATATACTTCATAAAAAACGGACCCCGGGCCTCCGAGTTGAAGGCGTCAGGTCGTCGCACCACGGTGTACCGTACGCTACCATAAGAAATATACGCTTCGCCAACCCGACCAAATGTAGAGGGCAGCCACCCGCAACCGGCCACTTGACGCGCACCGACACCGCACCTGTGTCGGATTTTAACCATCAACATTCAACCGTGACGTCACCGCATAGCAGAGAAAACAAGTTACAAGTGCTTTTTAAAAGCCGCCTCAAAA